GGTACTACAATATTTGCCCGTTTGCTCATCCATCCCACCCACCCCGCGGCCCGCTGAAAACTCTCAAGTCCCGTATGCCAGAACCTTCCGATCAAGACCGGGGGAGCCCATTGAAACACGTCGCCAAACTTTGGCAGAAGACTCGTCCGATACCTCGGTTGCTTTGCAGGTCGACTACCCCTTTTCGATGCCGTGAGAGTTCACCCGCATCATGGTCTCGACAGCCGGGCACGCCATCCGGCGAGGGGGGCTCATGCCAGCATCGTGTCAAGTCTGACATCCCACGAGTTAAGCCCAGACATGAGTTGACCACCACAACCACATGACGAGCTTTCGACTTCGTATCATTACCCTCGCCTTTTTTGTGCATCTGCATCTGATAACAGCAGAATCCACGAGTCCTGCCATGAGAGACCGAGCCAAGTTCGGCACTAAATTGGGGCCTCGTGCCGAAGAAACGCGTGTTGCGGATGCTGTACCGGATCCGGGCTCGACTACCTTTTAAGCAATCATTGGGTCACGGACGGAGTTTAAACCCCTCTCCGCTCCCCAAGCAGGCCGAATCGCTCCCCCCACAGAGAGACAGATTGGGAAGAATTTCAAAAGTAAAATGGAATTAAAAATAAAATAAAATAAAGTCAATTGACCATCTCCAAGAATTCAATGCATGTGGAGTCGGCGGCCGGGGGCCGGGGGGCCGAAAGCGGCAACAGTGAGACTACTGTCAACTTGTCAAGCAAGGTCCTACCTGCTATCGACTGATGGTAGCGAAAAGAAACAAGATTTGGTTCCCAAAGGCCCGATAGGTGCGGCGTTTCCTCCGTACAGGGAACAAGCAAGATCTTTTGGCCTCTTTTTTTTTTTCTTTTCTTTTTTTTTCTTCCTTCTACAGTATCTTCTCGGTCTCTTCAAGCTTTGGAGGTATCCTGGACAGCCAGTCATGGATTAGGAGCACCCTATCCCAGCCTCTTTTTTTTTTTTTTTTTTTTTTTTTTTTATTTTTTTTTTGGTTTTTTTAATACTTATCAGAGTATTTCAATTTTATTACATATTTTTGGGGTTTTCGTGGCGTCCAGTTGTGGGTTAGGGGCGTCTTTTTTCTGTCTTTTTTTTTTTTTTTTTTTTTTTCCTTTTCTCTTTTTTTTTTTTTTTTTTTTTTGGTGCCGCCATCTGCCATGTTCAACAGCGCGCATCTGCAAGATTGAACGATGGCGGCAGCGAGAAGAAAGTCGCAGACTCGCAGCGCACTAATGATCCCGGAGTCTCAGTCTCCCGACTGCTGGTTGACTCTTGGCCTCTGCGGATCGACGCCCCGCCAAGCGAGACGCTGCTTCGAACTTCGGGGAGGTGGAGTGGGGAGAGGGGAGTGGGAGGGTAGGAGGGTGGGGAGATGATCTTTCTTGGAGGCTCTTGCTGTCGAAATAGCAAGGGACCTCGCCGCGCGATTGGCGAATGGCTCAATGATGAAAAGCGATGAGCGGTTCCCCCCGATGGTGTGTGGAGGAGGGAGGTGGCTGCAGACTTGATGGTGGGTGGTATTATTATGCAGGCGCTGCATACGAATAGGATTGGATTGGGACCGGGATGGGATGGGATGGGATGGTTTGCGGAAAGATTGGGGGGATACGAGGCATCACATGAAGCCGCCGGGCGGAGCAGTACGGCGGTTCGCCAGAGAAGGTATCTCATCAGTCCTTGTTTCCTCGGCGGCGGCTAACACATCCTCGGCAATCCAATGTTCTCGAAAGTATCCGTTCAAGGTAATGGTTTTCGGCTCATGTTGGTTTCTGTGTCTTGGACGTAAGCTCATTCAACAATGTCTTGGCCGAGACGGAGCAATGATGGTTGGGATACTACGGCGGCGGCAATAAAGGGGAACACGGAGAGGATAGCGGCGGCGGCGGCTTCGGAGCTCTCTTTCTCTCTCTCTCCACTTGCACCGTCCTATTGTCCAAGATGGGACCTCTGCATCGGGTTTGTGCGCCGCACTAGTTGACAACACCACCTCCATTCCATGGGGACTAGTGAACACGGACCAAGATACGGGATGCCGGCTTGAATTGCCTCGTGAACCTTGAAGCTGGACGGGGACTGCTGACGTGCTCGACTTGTGGCCCTTGGGGCCCTTGGAGCCTGCCCGGCCTGGGGAGGGCCTCTCCGCGGCACGTTCAGCCGTGTGCGGGTCGTAGAGAGGAATGGTACCCGTCCATTGCGGTCTGCTGCTTCTTTGCTCGGATGCCTAGGCTCATACTGTCATCAAGGCGTGGTTGGAATGGTTATTTCCGACGAGGTTGGTGGCCAAGATAGACAATTGTCTTTGTCAGCATCCAACCTCACCACCCTTGACTTGGAGTCTATCACACTCAATGGCAAGCTATCTGTGTACTGGCTATGACTTCTCCTCTGAAACTGGTATAACCTAACAGTGTCAAATAAGGCTTGTATAACAAAGGCCAATGGAACTGTTGCTTTTGGGCTTGTGATGGCCTCAAGGTTCGGCTCAGCGACAGTTCATGATAGGTCAACCCGCCTTCCGTCGTTTCGTCTTGACAACGACGTGATTGCTCCCTTGCGTTTGGCCCAATTTTGAGGGTGCCGTCGCTCAACCATAGTGAGGAGCCTTCGATAGCATATTTGACATAATTTTTTCCTCAGCCTCACGATTGCAACGCTCTCTATGTCAACCACTGACTGATGTCCATTTCAACATCAACCAAGACCTGCGCGAGCTGTGGCAAACACAGCGACACTTGAAGGCCTTCCCGTACTAACGACAGGGCCGCATAATGGCGCCGTCATGATAGGATCGATCTCGAATCGGTCGGAGATGCAACGACATCGGACCCTAGACCTCTAGTTGCCACTTCATGCATACCCCGCCGTCCAGCCATCGAGCGACATAGGACGTCGTATGGAATTCGGTCTTCTTCCTGTTCTTCTTCTCCCATCAGGCGACATTGTGTGCTGACGACTTCCAGGGATATCAAACGCAGAGGACCAGGGCTTTCACAACATAAGGTGGTGGGCACGTCATGTACGCATCCGTACGGGTGCAGGTGATTGCCCGCATTCGGTGGAGAGAGCGAGCTTTGGTGGGGGCCGGCAGCGGATATGTGCGTTGACAGGACAGGGACTCTGGGAGCGCTGGAGTCTTTTTGGCTTCTTGCCTGCGAGCGGGGATTTCAGTGGTTTCTGTGCTTTTGTGAGATGTGGTTGGTCCGCTGAGCAAAACAGAGAGGTTGGAAAGGACTCTGTTGGTGATTGCCTACTCGCGTTGGCGAGGGGCGGCAGCGGCGGCGGAGGCGGTGGCAGGGCTCAAAAGATCTCGAAGGAGGGGCCTGAGTGGCATGAAGCCGTGATGGCACGAAAAGGACCATGTGGAACATGTCAGCGGTCTGCGGATACAAACGTGTTCTCGCTGGCGACGACTACAGACACGATAGAGTACCGGCCGGAAGAGCTGGATACGCAAGACGCGGGTATGGTCATCCTTCATTGCTTCCACCAAACCAAACAGTCCCAACCACCTGCCTATCCCAAACGTGGGAGGGGGGCCAAGTGGAAGATGCGTGACCACCAAGCCAGGATGCCGGCAAACCGGCTGGCCGCATAGGCAGGTTTCCAACAACCTGTTTTCCTTGTTTCTTGTCTATCTTCTGTGAGATGTTACACGCCCGACTCACCGCATGTTCCCGTGGGTTTCACATTCGCATGTCTTTGTGCGACCCCTCGAGTTCCGGACAGATGAATAGTCTTGTGGACTGCTCTCAAGGTCAAAGCAATTGTAATAACACACCAGACGGCAAGGCAAAAGATGCAGTTCCAGGGTCGAATCAAGACCTGTCCGGGGGCTTGTAGAGGATTGGTTGGCGGGCCGAGCTGTCGTTGTTTCGGCGGTGGCCGGGCCAGGATCGGCCGCGTGCTGTCCCGCCGAAGCCGCTTGCGGGGCTGAGCCCTGTACCCGTACACCGCCGTGTCCTACGGGCCCTGGACTAGGGCACCTAGAGGCTATAGTTATGTGCCCGTCCCTTGGTCTTATCGCCTATCGCCCGCGCTCCCTCCTACGCCCATGCTACCTGTCCTGACTCGGGCCTTTGACATATGGCATCCGCATCCGTTCTTGGCAGAGTATTACACGATGCCGTAATCTTCGTGATGGATTCGACAGACTTGCGTCAAGTCTTAACTCATCATTCAACTGAGCTCCCAAATGGCAGGATGACCCCTATAATCTCAGGGGCAACCCGTAAAAGGAAGGTGGAGCGCTTTGAGCCGCCCGCGTCCCGCCCGGAGGCGAAAGCAATCCCGGAACAACATTGGTGCGGTCTTCGATTCATCTTCTTCATGCGGCGCACGTGGGCCCAAAGTCAAGCCACGGGCCATGGCGGACTTCCAACGGGGGGAAAGAGTGCCGTTCGGCTAGCTCTGAGGCTCTCTCTCTCACTCTTACTTTCACTCTACCTCAACAGTAAAGCATCTGAACCTCACATGTCAGCGCCCCTCCCCCCTGAACCTTCTCTATTTCTGATTACCTTCTCGGAGAGTGCGGGAACAGTAAGTGCGGGGAGAGAGAGACTTGGTTTGTTGTTTGAACATAATTCTTCTTCTCGTGTACCTAATTTGGACGTCATTCAAAGAACCGAGTCTCGGGAGTATCTCCCCTCTCTGTTTCCTCCTTTTTCAATCCGTTCCAACAAGGCTCGCTGCCGAACGTTGCGGGGGGACCCTCCGTGCCGGAGACCTGCAGAGCACCGCGAGCGAGCCAAACAAGGTGCGAAGAGCTCCGTCATCCGCGTCTCACCCGAGAGAGGAGCCTCATCCGTGCATCGCGGGCCTCTCGGATGCCACCCCCGTCCGCGCCTTTGCATCTCAGTACAACCTCACTCACCCACTCACTCACTCACTCACTCACTTCAAACGAGTGTGTGTATTACTCACTCACTGTGTTCCATCTCATCCTCACACACATCCGCGGTTAATACACCGCGGTGGCCTCCAAGATGCGTTTCCACTGCATGCCCCTGCTCTACGTCCTCTCCTTCTTCCTCCTCGTCTCGGCCCTCTTCTCCGTCCTACTTTCGCTAGCGCCGTGCTTCGTCAAGTCCAAGAACCACTGCTACCGCGGCTATGAATCCCACTACTCATTCGACGTCGACAAAGCAGACCACGCTGAGTGGATGAAGGCCATCCCGGACGAGGCCAACCTCACGTCACTGTCCATCCCAGGGACCCACGACACCCTCACCTACGACCTCACCAACCAGGTCTTCCAATGCCAGAACCACAACCTCTCGGCCCAGCTGCACGCTGGCATGCGGTACTTTGACATCCGGGGCCGTCTTGTCAATGACTCCATAGAGATCTACCACGCCTCCATGTACACGGGCCACTCATACACTGAGGTCCTCGTCACCCTCTTTGACTTCCTCGACGACCACCCTAGCGAGACCATCGTCATGCGCCTCAAAGAGGAGGGCAGGCCCCTCGGCAAAAACAGCATGACCTTTGAGGACGCCTTCAACTACTATCTACACAACTCCACCGTCACCTCCGCCGGCGCAAAGTCCCACTTCCGCAAGCACAACCCGCGCAAGCCCTACCCGACTCTCGGCGCCCTCCGCGGCAAGATCTTCCTCCTCCAAAACTTCCCCTCAAAGGGCCCCGAGTCGCCCTACGGCGTCATCTGGGAGTCGGCCGACATGGTCCTGGAGGACCTCTGGATCATCCCCAGCGTGGAGCACCTCTACATGAAATGGGAGGCCGTCGAGAACGCCCTCCGCCGCGCCGCCACCGCCAAGCCGCACGCCAACCGCGTGCTCTACCTCGCGCACCTGAGCGCCAGCGTCGGCGTGCTGCCCATTGAGGCGGCGGCGGGGAACCTCAACCGGACGGTGGCCGGGATCAACGACCGCACCGGCGACTGGCTCGCCGCGACGGCGGACCGGGGGGACAGCGGGAAGACGGGCATCGTCATTATCGATTTCCCGGGGAAGGAACTGGTGGATCAGGTGCTGGCACGGAATAGACCGCTAACGGACCGGAATGCCGAGCTGTGAGGCACGGGCTCTTGAGGCTCGTCCACCCTCTCCAACCCTCCGAGCGGGTATTTGTCGTATATCAAGCGTAATACCATTGTTTTTTTTTTTTTTTTCAAACATACTTGTTTTGCTATTTCATCAATGTTTGTCCCCTGTCCAAACAACGGATAGCGCGGGATTCAACCGTTACAACTCTCTGTACGATTCGTGCGCTTCTAGTATACGCCACTTTCAACGTTGGAAAGCTAGACTCCTTTACCCATCTTGAGCAGACGAACCCCACAATGCGCGAACCAATACTTGCGCTAAAGAATGCTTCTTTTTCCTTCTTGTCTTCTAAAGCGACAAACACCGACCCGGCTACGGAAGGAAAAGTTGGCAATCGCCGACTAACCTAGACAAGCAGGACTCCGACGTAAAAAAAAACTCGGAAATCTTGAAAGGAGGTACGGACAAGGGGGGGGTGTCTGTCAGAGGCCACGGCAACGGTCAAACCAAACGAAACGGCTACGGATAACGCTCCACTCTTTTTCCTTCCTCTCCCCTTTTTCTCCCTCGCCGCCCCCGCCCGAGATGAGGATCTTCGCCCGGAGGAAAGACTAGCGTCGGAAGCCGGGTGATCCGCATAGCCCGAAACGGCGCCGGCCTTGTTGTGGATTTCCACTTTGCGCAGTTTTCTTTTCCGCAGTTTTTTTTTTCCTGCCCGGCGAAGAAAAGTCTCCATCTACGGATATTCCTCTCGGGATCTTTCCTCTTCGGGTTTGAGGGGATCAGATCCTCATCGCCGATTCAGAGGGGGGGAAAGGGGCTCTTGCTCTAGACCTGTTTTTCCTTTATTCGATTCGGGCCTTTTCATAGGCAAACGGGACATACGCGCGTGTAGTGATCCTCGGTGCAGATGTTTTCGGTTTGGGCCAAGCTACAGAAAGCAGCGGCAAGTCTGTCTTTGATGGTGGTTGGCGCCGTCTGTGTTGTGTTCATCATCAACCCCTCATCATCATTGTCGTCGCCCGTCGCGTCTGCGGAAAACCCGGTCGGATATGCGTCAATTTTTTCCCGCAGTCTCAATCGTTAGACGCAAAGCGACTGCCACCATATTGTTTCCTTGACGTCATCCCACCGTCGGCTCCTTCATCCTCATCTGTCGTGGAACCGTGTCTATTCCCAAACCCCACACCGGGGACGCGATTTCGACGCCAACTACGCAAGTGGCGGTTTCAGCTTGTGTGTGTTCCCGAGCTGCCAAACTCCGCCAGCCCAAGGGCTCTTTCCATCTTTCGGTCGTTGGCGTTGCTGGGGTTCGGAGAAATGGAACATGGTAGTTTTGTCGAGGGGTTGTTGTTTTTGCCGCAACAACGGAAGGGGGGGTTTTAGGTTTGGTGTTGTTCCCGGGCTGCCAACTCCCCCCGGCCCAGGGGTCTTTTCCTCTTTTGGGGGTTGGGGGTGGTGGGGGTTGGGGAAAAGGGAAAATGGAGTTTTTTTGGGGGGTTTTTTTTTGATAATGGTTGGTCCCCCGCGTCCTTTTTTTTTTCAAAATTTTTTCTTTCCTTCCCCCCCCCCCCCCCCCCCCCCTGGT